TTCTGTCCAGGGGCTTGGTCTTGTGACATCCATGGTGTTGCAGTGTTGGTTGAATAATCCAGAAGGGGCTTGTCTTGATCCTTGAGGGTCTCGTCATTCAGAGGGCTTGATTATGTGCTTGAAGCTTTGATTTTGTGGGCCTCTTATTCAAGATTGGCTTACCACAGCGGCGAGGTTGTACAACCGCCTCGCTGGCCAGGAGGGAATCTTACTGGTCGACGAGGTGGTACATCCTGGCCGGCAAGGCTGTACCACCCCGTCGACCAGGAGGGAATCCTCCTGGCCGGCGGACAACCTCGCCGACCAGGAGGGAAAGCTTGTTGGGAGGGGTTCCTCCCGACGAGCTGCTTCTTATACCAGCTCATCGGAAGGAACCCCTTCCGACGAGCTGAATTATGTACCAGCCTTGTCAGGAGGGGTTCCTCCCGGCGAGCTGCTTTTTATACCAGCTCGTCGGAAGGTGGTATAAAAGCCAGCTCGTCGGGAGGAACCCCTCCTGACAAGGCTGGTACATAATTCAGCTCGTCGGAAGGGGTTCCTCCCGGCGAGCTGCTTTTTATACCAGCTCGTCGGAAGGAACCCCTTCCGACGAGCTGGATTATGTACCAGCTCGTCAGAAGGAATCCCTTCCGACGAGCTGGCATGTACACAGGCTCGCCGGGAGGGGTTCCTCCCGGCGGTGTGACCTTGGCCTCTCTAGGCCAAGGGGGTTTGAAAAAAAAAAAAGAAAGAAAGAAAAGAAACAATGGCGGGGCCATCCCATAGGACCCATGCCTGGGTCCTATGGGACAGCCCAGGTCCTAAACGCATATAAATATGCGTTTAGGACCACATATTGGGCGTGCAGGCAGGCACGCCCAACCTGCAGGCGAGTGGCATGCTTGCCTGCAAGACATTCTGCAATGCAGTGCGCCTTGGAGGCTGGCGTGCGCTTATCCAACCCCACCAAGTGAGTCGACTCGCTCAAAGGAGTTTCGTCAGCTTTTGACCAATTCGGTTATAGGTTCTGGATTTTGCTTGACAGATTTGATTGCCCTAATTTACAAGGGCTTCTTTACGGTTGGGGGATTGGGTTCTTCTTCCGAATGCTCCTCTTTGGGAATATGTTTTCACGTAGGGCTCCAATTCCATCTGAAGCATCATCCTCACTCTCTTTGTCTGTTTCCATGGCCTACGCAAAAATGAATCAGAAGCAGGAAAGATCTGCAGAAGGATATAAGCAATGCACACCTCTGACTCATCCATCTCATCCTTTTTGGCTGGTTTCTTCCTCGGTCGCCCAGGTTTGCGCTTGGGCCCCTTGTCCAATTTGGCCACCTTCTTTGGCCTGCCTCATTTCTTCTTCTGCCACTTGACGTACTCAAATCCAGATGGGTCCCTCTTGGTTGAAGACGTCAATTTGTGTTTCCGTTTGGAGCATTTGGGTTGGCCCTTGAATCAATGGTTCTTATCAAACTTGGGTTCCTCAAGTGGAATGGTTGCATGTGTTCCGTTGAGCAGTTTGTGAATTTTGCCTAGCACAAAGTTTTGTTCACCAGGATGAAGGGATTGGAATTTTTGAAAGACTTTGCTGAGGAATGCGTCTTCATGGTTCTTCTGTGGGGCCTCCGTGGCGTCTTGGTTTTCATTAAGTTGCACCTGTCAATTGATCAGATGTATGAAAAAAGTAAATCAGATACCTTGTGTGAATTTTGTTTGGATCCTCTTGATGATAAAAAAAAATAAGCAACTTACAGCCAGATCACTCTTGACATGCCACTGCTCATGGAAATTGTCTGCGGTGAACTTTGCCCCCTTGCGTGTTGCGTTGTGGACCTGGTGGATGCAAGGAATCCCCATGTAAGACGAGTAGTTACCTGTACATGTGGTTGTTGGTGCCTTGGCCACATGAAATGAGTGAACAATCTTCAAGGCAAAGTGGGAGATGATTCCATTAAGATTGGCGATTGACAGAGGAAGGTCAGTCAGTCTTTTGTATTGATGTTGGGCCAATTCGATGAATCTTTCATGCAGCTGGCTCTCAAGGGACTGGTGAATCTGCTTGACAACAGCTGCAAAGGAGCCTGTTGATGAGTTGATGAATCTTTTGAGGTACGCGTGGAGACTTTCAACTCTTGATGTGATGTGATTTCCAAAGTGTGGGTGCCGATGTGGAACTTTTCAAGCTAAAGAAAAGAGCTTAGAGGGGAAAAGAACAACTACACAGGGGAAAATGTGAGTTGAAGACTTGGATGCTGATGAAGCTGCCCTCTTGTCAAGGCTTGGGAGATAGTTACACTAAGAATTAAAGAAAAGGTGTGGCTATTTCTGTGGGTAATCTTAGTATGAGATTTATTACTGATGTCTTGTATAAGTCACCTGCTGAGAGATTGAGGATGTGGGGGATTCTGGTAAGGATGAGGCTCTGGGGGGTAATGGTTTCTGGGTTCAATTTCTTATCTTCTGGGGGAAAATCAATAATAATTACTTCTGGTAACTACTAGTAAGTGATGTCTGCTAAGTAATTATCTGTTTACTTCTCTAATGCAAGCATGGGGAACAAAGTAAGTGGGAAAGAGTATTCTCTATATACATGTGGGTGGTTCTGATCAGGTACTAGTGGTAAGATATCAGCTGAAATAAGAAGATGGTATGAAATAAGTTGTATCTGAAAGACAAGTGGTTATGAAATAAATGTGGCTGACAAATGTGTAGTGTGAAATAAGCATGTTGAAAAGGAGAAAATATGAAAGAACTTCTGTTTGTGATAAAAATAGTATGTAGTGCAAAAGGAATGAGATAATAAGGACTGAAATAAATATTCTGAGGTGAGATGAGAAATCTGTGTGGTGAAATATATATGTAGGTGATATAAGCAATGAGTTGAAATGAGATGTATGATCAGAATGTAGGTGATATAAGCAATGTGTAGTGAGTTTGAAATGGAATGTAAGAGTGAAATATTTGTAGTATGAAATAAATGTAGAATAAAATAAATGTAGAGTGAAGTAATTGATGTATGGAAAGAAGTGG